CATGAGCTATCATAACATTGTCGTTAATTACCCTACCCGGAATGAATGCCGCCTGCGTATCGGAGACAATAGAATCAAGATGATTCTTTAGCCTCGTCACAAGACATTTTGAAATAATTTTATAGAGGACATTGCACAATGCGATTGGTCGATAGTCGGATAAAGTTTCTGGATGTGTGATTTTTGGGATCATACAAATGTTTGTATGATTGATAGAAGGATTCATACAACCAGTTTCAAAAAAAGTTTTCACTTCCTTGATGACGTCAGGGCCAACAATGTCCCAACAGTGTTTATAAAATCTAGCAGTTAGGCCATCAGGACCTGGAGCTTTATCATCTCCTATTTGGCATACAGCTTTGTAAATTTCACTGTCATTGAATTCTCTGGTTAGGTCAGCATTAATAACCTCTGTTACAGTTGATCGAAAATCACCGAAATCAATGGTTGAGACTTGGCGACCGTTGCTTTTATAAATTTTTGTGAAGAATTCTTGAGCATGGATGCCTATGTCCTCATCTCCTTTGTAAACCTGAATAAATAATTATTTTAATAATAATGAGTTTTACTTAAAATAAATTACTTACAACATAGTATCCCTTATATATATATATATATATATATATATATATATATATATCTTCAAATACAAAAATATACTATATAGTGTTGTAGTTAATTTGAAAACGAAAATAACAGTAGTTTATTTGAATATTCATATGAAGTTGTACTATTATTTTCTTAATACACTAATAATCACTTATGACCAATATTAAATACAAAAATATGTTAAATAGTGTTTTAATTAATTTGGAAAACAAACGAAAATAAAAGTAGTTTATTTGAAATAATAATTATGTAAAGATTAATTGCTTACTTATTTGTTTTTTAATTTGTGTGATATATGTAATGTATGAGACTAATGGCAAATTCTGTAAATAGTCTAATAGAAGTTGGGTAATTATTTAAATAGGAGCCAAATCATTGTGAGAGCGACACATCAGCGTGACAATCTTGTTAATAACACATCATGGTAAGGTTTATTTTTTAGAGTGTTTCTCTATTAATATATAGGGGATAAGATTTTGGTGTAACTATTAGAGCAGCCCAATCATTGTGAAGAAAATAGTCCATTAGCCCACGTGGTGGGTTTTCATCAAGATAGATTCATATATAAATTCGTCTAATAAGAAGAAGAGAAGTATCTCTCCATCTTATGTGAAATTATTCTAAGAAAATTCATTTGTATTTTTGGCGACAATATAATCTCTTTTCTTTTTTACATTTCTTGCACAATAGAATTTTCATGATCTATTCAATTTTCAATCTATTTTATCTCTTTTAGTAAACTCTACTAGAGCTAGAAAAAGCTTGCTTAGGATTCTCCGACTCTAACAACCGTAGAGAACTTTTGCTTGTATTTTTTTGTAAAGTTACTTAAAAGATTTGAACATATAACTAAACAATAAAATTGGGACAGAGTTTAAGTGTTCTCAAGGGTTCAAAGCCTCAAGGATTCAGTTTTCATTATGCTTTTTAGAGTCTTTGGTTATATATAATTATGGAATTATGGAGAACCAAAAGAGCTTGTGGATTTGATCAAGGATCAAGAAACTGGTTGATCTTGGGTTCGAGTGCTTGGATGGCCACAATGTTTTTTTTTTACTATTTAATAAGTATACTTGTTAATGGGCTTAATTTTTTAGGTTTGCTTCAGGCAACAAAACACTATGGCTGGCTCTGCATACTGGAAGAGAAAACATTAAAGTATACGACAATCAACTTCATGTTTTATTTGTAATTTTTTTCTAATTTGTATTTGTCACTTACTATTATCTCAAGACCATGTATAAAGTTCTAATGATTTATAAGATCAGATTTAAAATAAAATTCTTATTAATAATGTGTAAATTTACTAACAGACGAATTTCAAAACTAGTCATAATTGGATATCAAAATTCGGTTTTAAAAACTGTTGACTCTAACTGATATGGACCGTTGATCTAACGACGTTGTGTATTTACACATATATACATTACATATTTTATTATATCAAAGTGTGCGAATTGTTCTTATCAGCAAAACCAGTTTATGTGAAACTGTTAGAAATATCAAGATATGGTTGTTATAGTGAGGACCAAAGCATTGACCATACCCATAATGTCCTGGTCATCACCTTTAAACTATAAAAATTGGCCTTTCGGTTTTGTAAGAGTCAATCTTTGTCCAGTGAAAATCGAAACAAATAATGCTTTCAGTTTCATTCATCATTGGAAGTTGAAGCTGACATGACTAAGTCTAAGTCGTCATAAGAAACAAATGATATATATAGTTCATCAAAGTGTGTTAACTAAGATCATTAAAGTCAAGTCAATGGTTGTTTTGATGTTGAGTTAATATGTGAATCACTAAAAGATTTGTAGTAAAATGTTTTGAGAATCCAAATCTTGTGGAATTGTGTTTGTCTCTACATTCTGATTTTTACATTTTAACATATTCAAAAATATATATTTTGACAAATTAATAAATCAAATAAAAATATATCAGCCAATCATTGGATCGATTCTGTACAACTCTATACCTACAAGATCGACTCTATATTTTAGTTTAGAAATCTACTATCATCCATCATTCTCGTTTTGAATAGTTTATTTGATCAAAACTTTATGTTAGGGTCTCACTTTGGACCATTCTTTATAGAATTGATGACAAGGTCGAACCATGGATGTTCAAGATATCAACTTATGTCTTAACACTAGGGTATATGCAACTATCAAATTAAATTAATTGAAGAACGTTTTTTTCTTTTGACATCTTTGGTTCTACAAAGTCCGATCCGTAGTCAATCCCTACTACGCGGGGTAACACGACATAATAGAGTCGAACTCCGATGGGGAAGACGGAGTCAAATGGACTTAACCACTTGACTAAAAGCACATCTCTATTAATTGAAGAACGTTTAACTAGAAAAATCAAATAAAATTTGGCTATATGTGATAGATAACAAGGTAAAACATTGGGTTTGCAATATATTGTGTTATGTAGAGAAATATTATAATATAATTTATATGGATAATCGATGGGTGCTTAGCACTTTAGTACCAAAATTTAATCTTTGATTGTTAGTGAAAGTGGTTAGTGGCCACATCTAAAAGCAATGATTTGTTTTATTGTACATTGAATAATGGGGACATAGTTACAAAAAATGTTTTAAGAGAAGTGGACATTTTAAAACAAATATCGTATGTATAATATCGTCAAGTGGACAAAAATGAGTTTTTACCTCCCAAACGCTTAATTTAGATATATAAACATAACTAGATTAGAGGTCGTCAGTTTGAGTGACGCTTAGGACGAAACTAATATTACATAGTGTGGTTTCGGGCCTGGAAGAATTACGGGTTTTGGCCCAGAACTTTCTGGTATTCAAAAAAAAAAAAAAAATCGGGTTTTAGAATACATGTTCGAATTCTAAGTTTCGAGACAGTTTGAGATCCAATATCTATTTTTTTATAGAATAATTTGAAAGAGAAAATACCACATGCCATGAAAGGAATGAAATTCTCTAGATGAAAAGAGGATTGTACATCTTTTTGATCGGAAAAGCATGCTAAGATGTTGATAATATGGACATCAAACATAATGGATAGTCGGTTTTTATTGGTTCGAGAAAGATGACAATGGTTCATCCATCAAAAATGTTTGGAATTTAACTTAAAAGTTTAGTTTCCAAATGTTTTATTATACGTGATTGTCCATTTTACATCGGTCATGTACTGATTATTCCGAAAAAAAGATGGTGAAGATCTCAACGTTTATTTTATTTTAGAAAATTTAATTGAAAAAAATCTTTATTTGTTATTATTTATATTATATGCTTCTAAAAAGTTTTTTGTAAATCATTTTATTTTTCTGAATTATTTAAGAGTCTCAAGTAAATTACAAACACTTAAAATTTTATTCATCTTCATCTTTATTTTCTTTATCTTTATTCAACTAATTTCTCTACTATTTATCGTTTAAAGTTTAGACCCTCAGTTTTTTTTAATCCAGTGGCAATATACTAAAAAAAAATAGAAACAACAAAGTAGCTTGAATATTTCTCTAATGTAATCATAAATCCTCAAAATCACATAAATTGCATGCCCTTTTGCTACCTCAACAATAAATTCATCACATCATTTCTATTCCACAACTTCTGGTTTTCAAATTTAATCAATTTCATTTACATCCACACTTCTAAATAAATAATCAATATCAATTCTAATAAATATTATACTCCAATATATAAGTAAACATATATGAAAATTGATGAAAATTGTCAATATATCTTAAATGCATTCACTCGTGAACAATGTAGATGTCAAACAAACTTTTTATGAAATTGTCCATTCTAAGTCACCAAATGGAGACGGTATCGCACAGTACGGTGCGGTTCCAATAGTAACAAAAATATCTACATTTATGTGTGTATGTATATATTTTCGTTATTATTAGAACCACACTGCATTTTATCTGCAGTTGAACCTCACGTCTTCATTCGGAGCCTAAATTATCATTTTCGACGATAGTGAAAATTTTGTTTTTAACAGAAAAATGTATACAATATCTTAAATTTTAATTATTTGAGAATAATTCTTTATCAAAAAATTAGTCACTTTCATGTAATTGTAACCTCTACTTTTCTTACCAACCCCACCCACATCAAACCCCAAAACCCCACCAATAATTAATCTGTTTGTCCCTATTTCCTATTATAATCCAAGTTTACCCCACAAGTTTTTCTTTGTTGCTAAAGTACCCCACAACTTTTTAAAGTACGAATTTCCCCGATTTGGAATTTGGTAGTACAATAGTTACAGTACAAAACTTTATGTTGGATAATAATATATAATCCAAAATACTCAACATTAAAAACTTTGCAATATACCGAAAATTACAATAAAAAAAAAAGAAGGCATAATCTAGAAAATATTATATGCTTCTTCTTCTCACCAGTTATTTAGTAAAAATTGTTATTATATAAGAAAAAACTAAAACCCCCAAAAAGAGAACCTTATACTTTTAAGAAATTAATCTAAAAACCCAGTCTTTTCCAAAATTGCATTTCGAACCCTACTCATATCTCTTCCTTTCAATGTCCTCCCAATTCCTTCATGCACAGAGAACGAAGCCATTCTCGTCTTCGCCAAATACTCATGCGGTGGCAATTTTCCACCGTCTCCGTCATCATCGTTATCGATGCTTTTCCGACGGATGTGACGATTTTCCTTCCCGAGAATCTTAGACCAGTCCGGTACGTTCATCGGAAGTGAAGAAGCTACCGTCGTGGTTGTTACGGTTGCCGGAGATGATCTACGGTTTGATGTGATGAGTTTCCGACGAAAATCAGGCGAATCGGAGCGGGTAGAGTATAGATCGGACTCGTCGAACTCGAATTCTGAATCTCCGGTGATATGGTAAGTCCGATCTGTTGGAAGGAAGCGATGACTCGGCCGTTGGTAGTAGCTTTTTCTCGTCGTCGTTGCCATTGAAGGAGAAGAAGCAATTTGAGTTTTTTTTTTTTTTTTTTTTTTTTGGAGTTTTGGTTATGACTTATGAGAGAAGTCTCAGAAGAGTCTCTCTGCTTTTATAAATGTTTTCAGTTGTGAAAAATGGATAAAAGACCCGATTTTTTCTCTTCGTTAACTTCTAGTTTGCGTCGAGTGAAATGACGTTAGTGCCCTTTTGTTTGTGGTGGAGGAATATTACATTTGGCAAATTTATTATGGTTTGTGGCATATTCTGAAAACCTTTTGTGAGTTTTTTTTTTGTTTTTAATCCAACTACATGAATTCAAGCTCTGTTTTTTTTTTTTTCCAATTTAAGTGATAGATTATATGATAAAAGATACAATAATGATGATCCAAGAAATGATCCCAAGACCTAAAAACTAAACGATATTGAAAACTAAGCCGACAGATAACAAAATATTTTCGGGAGCTAAAACCCCAAAAAGAGAAGGAAAGGAAATTTAAAGTCCACAACATGAAAGAAAATTTCGTAACTAAGACAAGAGAAATACAAGCAACAAAACTAGAATCTAACACTAAGCAACTCGCCTACCACCAAACTACATGAGAGAATAGCTTGACAAAGTGGCTAACCGAAATTCCGAAAGAAACGAGAAAATCCACGACAACGGAGAACGACTCTTCCTTTAACAAATGAAGACTATCTCACTAAGAGAACGGAAACATCTATACCAGCAAAAGAGGAACTAGGACGGAACAACTAGAACCAACCACAATTCCTAGAAGCGACGGAATTTTGGAGAATGCAAATAAACCACGATTTGTCAACAGCGACGAAATTTTGGAGAATGCAAATAAACCACGATTTGTCAACGCCTAAGAATTCAAGCTCATATTTACATTTATTTTTTCATTAAACAATTTCCTCTCTTTTTTTTTATGTAATTTATGAATTCAATAAAATAAATTGTGTGAAAGATTGAACAAAACCGTAAAAGGTAATACCTACACCGTCGTCATTCTTATATATCGTAATGGTATATTAGTTTAATTTGGCTTTGTTGTTGTTTTGTTCTAATGCTATATTAGTGAAAGTTTCTAACGTTTTTTAAGTAAAATATCTTTCTTTTTATGGTAAAAGGTTTAGTAATACTATATCTTCCTAAATTTTCGTATTTTACTTTTGTAGATTCTTAAAGAATATGGAGAATATTCTAAGTTAAATAAGTTCAGTTGTCCTAGATTTTTGTTTAAGATTTGTTTCTTTAACTTTGGCGTAGAAGTTTCTTTCTTAGATATAGCTTGATAACGTAACGTGAGTCTAAAATATTTGAAGGTTATAAATTATAACAAAGGAAGACTACTGATTAAGAAGATATCATTCAAAACTACATTCATTAGATTTCTGTGCCCAGGGCCGGTCCTTAACTTTAAGTGGCCTAAAGCAGAATTAAATATGTGGCCTTCCGTATACTGCTAATATTATAAATAAAAAATTTATACTATAAATTTAGAAAAGTATTAAAATGATAAAATATAGCTGATAAAAAATCATTAATATTTTAACAAAGTAAAACAATTTATGAAAATTAATTTTTCTAACCTTTTTTCAACTAATAAGTGAACTAAGGAAAAATAAACCACTAACTAAAAATAGGAAAGTATAAGAAAAAAAAGGATGAAAAAGAATGCCAGGGAAAAAAAAAGCAAATAAAGTCAATAGAATGGGTCGAACCTGTGTAGTGGAACTAAACGTTGGGATATCTAACCACTAGACTACTTAATACTTTTCAAAATGTGGCCTTATGATTTACATAATATTGTGTGGCCTAAAGCAGGTGCTTTACCTGCTTTATGGACGGGCCGGGCCTGTCTGTGCCTTTAGCAAAATTGCATATATCCAAAATTGACCTCACTGGGTAAACGTTTTTTTACAGGTACTTCACATTAGTAACTTAGTTACTTCTCATTTTCACTGAACATAGTCGCAAAATATTGGGCTTCAAATAGTTAACAGCCTAATTAAATTTAACATAACCACTTTATATCAAATGCTAACCCATCTAGTGGGCTGGGCATGTGTGGGTATATTTGAATTTTACCTGCTTCAATATTCTTTGCGGATTATAAAATACTTTTGGATGAAGTTTAAAGCAAAATGCGTTAAAGATCAAAGATCTAATTACATGAGGCTCTGCATTGATCGCTCTCACATTTGAATCGATCGATCCGTGTGACATGATCCTGTGATGCGGTTGTGTATAAGATATGCTTTCATATTTCAAAAACCTATCGTCGTGCGGATTTTTGTCGAAGGTTTAAACTAGTCCAATTCGAAAAAGTAAGTATTCAGAAATTATGAAGAGATACACATGATACTATTCGACTCGACCTAATTGCAACTCCGTCAAAAAAGATGAAACTACCATAAGAAATTTACTATATATCCATGGGCCCGGCCCTGTATCCATTTTTGAGAAACATTTGTATGGGGCCTCAAACTTTTGAAGCCTTTTTGTGGAGAATTTTTTTTTTTTTTTTAAATAGGCCTCAAAATTAACCAAAAAACTCTAATATTAGTAAACAAAAACACATAATTAACAAAAAAATATCCCACAATTAGTAAAAAAAGTCTCAAAATTAACAAACAATGTCTAAAAATTAAAAAATATTTATAAATAAAAATTATAAATATCTCATAATTAGTAAAAAAAAAATTTTAGCAATTTTTATTATTTAAAAAGGCCTCAATTTTTTTTTAGTATTTGGCCTCGGATTTTACCGGACCGGCATTGTATCCATGAGTCAAAAATCAGTTTTATTGTTAGACACCAAGCAAAAAAAAAAGACGAAATTAAGTGGCTATTTTACAATCCTAATTCCATCAAACCAGAAATAAACGCACAAAAATACAACAAATAATTTCAATCAATGTATTGAAGGATCAAGAACTTGACCCATGAACAAAATCACTCCACTCTTCTCTTCTCTTACTGTGAATAGAAATGGATGGCCAGCTACGAAATCTCCCATCAACAACATGTCCTTTGTCATGCTGGCAACAGAAACGGCTGCAGCTTCAGTTCCCTCTTCATCCACCTCAATGCAAGCTTTGTGAAAAAAATTTGAGACGTACAAATTCTCAGCAACGCATAGATTCTCGGGAATGGAAGGCGACTCAACCATCTCGGTTAGACTACCATGTGTAAATGGTAAAGTCAGCCCCATTTCCTTCAAAACATCCGAAGCTTTAAACTCGAAAGAGAACTTAAACTTTGGAATTCCGAACGGTTCCACTATGATACGCTCGCGCGGAATATGGTTATCAAGAAATCCGGATTTGGAGCTTATTTCCTCAAGCAGAGTAGGTAATCCATCTTTATCATTAGGAAGATAAATGTACATGGCGAATTGACGTTGATCCTCTACGTAAGGAAGGCGCAAAACTTTGAAACCATCATAATATTCTAGGTATTGCTTCTTGTAATTGGTCATGAAGGGGACTTTCACCGTGGTGCCGTCAAGAAGATGAAAATCGTTACTTTTTGTTAACTTTGCATCAAATTTTTTGCTCCAAGCTCCTTTGAAGTACACTGCATTTGCAAGTATTAGCATACTTTCACGGATAGTCTTGATAGAATCGTGTGAAAGAATCTCTTTGATGAGTCCATTGGTGTGGACTTTAGCCCATGTATTCACTTCATTAATCACTTCAGCAGGCTTCAACATAAGTGAACAACAAATTAACCAATCATTAAAAAAAATTCAATGTAATAAACATAACCCACACAATGAGAAAAATTGCAACATTACTCTAACGTATCTCACATCTAAAATAAGATGGTATCTAAAGAAAGATATGTTTCATATCCATTTTGATAGTTAGTTTTTTTTTTTTTTTTTTTGATAAGGTTGATGCACTTGCTAATTAGTTTCAAGTTGGAAACTCATGAAACCTCGATGGTTACCCAAGAATTTGAGGCAAGAAAATTCAATAAGAATTGCGAAAACATATATAGAGGAATTACCTTGGTTGCGAAGTCAGCTTGACTACAAGTAGCGTTATAGGAGTTCTCCAAAAGATCTTTAAAGGAAGGCTTGAAGGATAAAGATTTGTCAATCCATACACTATAAGCCGTAGATAAGTGCAAGTCATTTCTCTCCAATCCATCGGCGAAGGCAACAGATACTGTCTTGGCCAAGACCGCGTTGAGGTGATCCGATGAGGGTAACGTGAGGAATGATAGGATTTGTTCTTTGGTGACACAGTTGGAACCAGCGGCGATCAAGCAGAGCAAAATGTTGATTGACATTGGTGAGAAGACAAGGTTTGAGCTGTTGGCAACGGTAGCGATGACATGCTTTGCTAGTAATACCATGACGTCGTTTTGATTCTCCATTGATTTTCCCAACTCCATGTTTTGTTCCTTTTTTTTTTAGACAAGAGAGAGAGGCGTGGGGACGAATGGTGATGATTGATGAATACAATATCTTGTTTCAAAATAAATTTGAATAGTCATTGACTCATTACCTTAGCCACGATTAGTCGATTACAAAGAAAATAAAGTAAATCTTATATATATGAAATTTGTTTTTGTTGAAAATGTCTACATTTTAATAGTCATCGACTCATCACCTCTTGATATATACGTGCTATATATGGTGGTTTTATTTGGTTTAATGGTTTTGGTTTTGATTTAAGGATTAGAGTAGTTTCCTTTTTACATTAGAACTATGGTTTTGGAGTTTTTCCTTTTCTTAATTCCAACTTCCAACATTAACTATTTAACCTACTAATTAAGCTTTGCTATCTCTTACTCTGTTCTTAAGGTTTAACAAGGGCATACTATACTAGATCCGTGGCAAGGGCTGAGGCTCATAACAGATTTCTTTGCCCAAATTTTGAATCTTTAAGCTTCAAGTTTTGAATGATGACGGCGAGGAAGGAGGCTGCAACACGGGTCTTTTGGGACATGAGCACCTGTCCGGTTCCCCATGGCCAGAGCCGTTCCCAGGAGTATAGAGACCAGAGGCGGTGCTAAAAATATTCCTCAAATCATATAAAACGAAACTTAAGAAAAAAATA